AGAAGCAGCGTCCTCAGTGTTCAGTATCAGGCATTCATTTTCCAGTCACACTGAGGAGAGGCAGCAGGATCAGCCCACTTAGCCTGAGGTAGTGGTAAGAGCTAATGGTCTGCTACTTTGCTTTTCTGTTCTTCAGCTTGAAGGTTGGACTCCAATATCAGTCAATCAGTCACTGGGTCTTTTAAATTTTGGGTTTGGGATTTGTTTTTGTTTTTCAAGACAGGGTTTCTTTGTAACTTTGGATGCTATCCTGGAACTCACTCAGTAGACAGGCTGGCCTTGAACTCACAGAGATCTGAAGTCACTGCGTCTTTTATTTATTTGTGTTACATGGACTCAAATCTACTCACTTTTTTCATCACCAACTCACAGTGGAAAAATAAGGATAATGCATGGTAATTCAATAAGGCAGTCAAGTGTGTAGTATGGAGCCCAATATAAAGATTTAATGATGAAAATCTATCACTATTAGGTAATACTCATTTTGCCTGATGGTATATAAAGAGATAAAGTAGATTGATGTCTTACACTTGGCAAATAATAAATTACAGCTTAGAAAATGATATTCAACTTTTTATATTAATTCGATATTAAATACCAAGAATACATACAGCAACCTTCCCCTCAAAAACCACACACAAAGCCCTTTAAGCTAAAGCTATTTATTTCTTTCCTGAATAGGACTGTGTGGAAATTTTCCGTATGACCAGTGAAGACACAAATAGAAATGTTTTATGGTGGGCTTTTGCACAAATATTAATCTTTTTCTCAGTTGGAATTTTTCAAATGAAGCATCCTAAAGATTTCTCCATAGCTAATAAGCTTGTTCAAAATATTCTAAGTTAAAGCAAATAATTCATACAGTGTTTGACTTAATAAATCAAAATATATGTATAAATGTGTCTTATTTTATGATTTCAAAGATAAAGAAGTTAATATTACAGAATGGCATTCCTGGTTAAAAAATGATACTTTAATAATTTAATGAAGTAAGCACATCATTTTGTTTTAAGTGTGACATAAATCAGCAACAACCAATGAGCTATAGATGCAATTTTAAGTTATCTGGTCTCACCTTATTCAAACCATCACAAAGACCTTATCTCACAAACATGACAGTATAACACAAAGAAACAAAATTAGCTTAATTTTAATGTACATTCAATACAAAAGGATATCTTTTTATCCATACTAAGTTTGTAAACCTTGGTTCTGTATTATGCTAACAGCATAATTTGGACCAGCAATATTTTAAGGGCTTAGTGAAACAAATACAGTTCTGCACAGATCAAGTGCATCTTTTCCTATCTTTACTTTTTCCTAATTCCTTGAAAAACAGTAGACTTTTCTCCATACATGTAAACAGCCCAGGAACTTTCTCATATAGCCTCTACCAATCCTGTACACTTATGAAGAGGGAAGGATAGGTACCCAGAATTATGTGAAACACAACTATTAAAAAGTAATGTTTTTAATTCTGAAATAATTCTAATATCACCAGAAATTAGCCCCTTCCACCATCTATGGTCTCAAAGATGAAATGATCTTCCCTAAATTAAGCCCTTTCTTGTGTATATGTGGGTGG